ACTCCGGGCGCAGCGAACTCACGGAAGAGCTTCGGTCAACTGGTGCCTGGCGGTTTACAGGCTTAGGGTTTAGGGTTTAGGGTTTAGGGTTTAGGGTTTAGGGTTCAGGGTTTAGGGTTCAGGGTTTGGGGTTGGGGGATTTACCTACAGGTTCTTCGCAGGGGATGAGGAAGGGAGGACCATATATACTCCCATAAAGGGTATATGTAGTGGGATATGAGGTGCCTAGTTCCCTCGTTCCCGATTAAGAACCAGTAGGTTTAGGGTTTTAGGTTTAGGGTTTGGGGTTTAGGGTGCTACGGTTTGGGATTTGAGGCCCAGACTTTAAGGTCTGGGATGTGGGGTCCGGGGTTTAGGGTTTGGGTTCTTAGGGAGCTTAGGGTTTAAGGTTTTGAGCGATACGGGTGGCTTAGGATACCCCCTAAGGTCCTTGGTTAAGTGAATGGCCCACCGAAGGCCCTTGTGCTCTGTATGCTGCACAACCTCATATGGGGGGTTTACGACAAAAGGGGTACCTTAGTGGCTTCCTTATGAGAAGGAAATTTCCTACTACTTAGGGGGCTATATTTGGGATCCCTTATTTTCGTAATCTCCCACATCTCCAGCAGCACTGCTCATCGCACTGCATGTCTCCTATTTCTCCCCAGTTCATCTTGGGCTTCTTGCTCTGCTGCCCATCCTCCAAAACACCTGACTTCAGGACTACTCCTTAACATAAAGTACTAGGGACCCCTGATATGAGTTAAGGAATCCTGTGAACCTATGCAGCGGGGCCTTGCACGCAAAGGGCTTAGGGCTTAGGGCTTAGGGGTTCAATTAGGGCTTAGGGTTTCATTAGGGTTTGGGGTTTCACTAGGGTTTGGGGTTTAGGGTTTAGGGCGCCACCCCTGAAAACCGCGTGAAAACCCGAAAGCCCCTACATGCAGCAGCGCCTGCCGGCGTCTGTGCGATGACTGGCTGCGAGGCCTGCACAACAACCTTACCAACAGATAAGCCCCCAAACCCTAAACCCTATACCCTAAACCCTAAATCCCGATTCCCCAAAATGAAGAGATAGGGACCCTATACCCTAAACCCTAAACCCTAATTCCCAAAAATGAAGAGATAGGGATCAGGTTGAGGGTCGAATCAATCTGAATGGGGTCCATATAACATCAGGGTTTAGGGTCGGTTTAATCGTGCTAGGGTCCTTATGACCCCACCGCGGCCGATCCCTGCAACTGTCAGCCCTTTGACACACAAGTCCAGAATCCTCAGCCCTGAACCCTAAACCAGATGAACCCTCAACCCTAGACCCTAAACCCGGCAACACGTTGCGGCTCCAACAATGGTGTTGCAAGAATGGCGACAGAGACACGCCCGATCCCTGTAACCCTGTGACACAACTGATGCCAAAGCGCGAGTTTCTGCAGTTAGCGCCGGAACCCGAAACCCTAATCCCTGATTCCTGAACCCCAAGCCCCAAACCCAACCAACAGGGCCCCAAACTCCAACAGAAACGAGGACCCTTCGCTACGCAGTGCGTGAGAGCTTGAGGACCTTCAGCTTTACTTCAAAAAACTATGGCTTGCTGGTTTGGGCGTCGCCTGCGAAACTACGGCCTTGTATGTAGGCCCCCGTGGAGGTTTAGGGCTTGGGGTTTACATCTCAAAGGACCGCAATCAACGACCTCCCCAGCCCTAAATCCTAAACCAAGACCCTCAACCCTGCATGGATCCTAAACCCGAGAAGGATCCTAAACCCTAAACCCTAAACCCCAAACCCTACATAACCCTACATAACCCTACACCCTCAACCCTAAGGGGCTTCGGCTTTAGGGCTGTAGGGGTTTAGAGATTCAGGGGTTCAAGGGTTTTGGGGGCTTGGGACTTCAGGCTTTCGGGCTTAGGTTTTGGGGCTTCAAGGGTTTAGGGTTGAGGGTTCAAGGGTTAAAGTTTAGGGTTCAGGGTTTGGGGGGGGTACATGGTGCAGTGGTTTTTGCGTAGGGACTCTAAGGGTGTTAAACATTTGTTTAGGGTTGCAGGTTGTAGGGCTCAGGGGTTTAGAGTTTTGGGGTTTAGGGCTTAGGGTTTCAAGTCCTGCTAGGCCCTTCAAGTCCTGCTAGGCCCATGTTGCCCCTAAACCCTAAACCCTAAACCCTAAACCCTAAACCCTGTGGCGTCTCCATGCCGGGCTCTTACCTGACCCTGCCCTAAGGGCAGCTTGGGTCTGCGCATTGCAAAGCTCGTGCCTGTGGCCATCCCACAGACATGACGCCGCGGCACGGAACCCTAAACCCTAAACCCGAAACCCTAGACCCTCAACCCCTAAACCCACCCCTAAACCCTACACCCTAAACCCGAAACCCTAAACCCTAAACCCCAGACCCTAAACCCTAAACCCTATTTTAAGCCCTAACCCTAAATCCTACACCCTAAACCCTAAACCGGGTGTTTAGGGCTTCGGGTGGGTCCCACCTCTGCAGCGCAAGCGAGCTTACTTTCAGCCCCCAGCGCTCGCAGGGATCCTCCAGGGCTTTGGGGTTTAGGGTTTAGGGTTTAGGGTTTAGGTTTTAGGGTTTAGGGCTTGCACGGTCTACAGGGTTTTTAAGGGTTTTGGGTTTAGGGCCTATAGGGCTAGGGCTTGGGGCTCAGTGCTCGGGGTTTATAAGGCTTCTCGGGCTCTGATGAATGCAGTAGGTTTACGGGCCCTGACATATCTCGAGGCGTCCTCCATCCTTGATCCCGCAAAAGATTCCCGGTCCCATGGAAAGAACAGAGTGAGCATGTTCCGGCGCCTGTACTCCTGGCACATGTTCCCCTCCTCATGCACGCCCCCAAGTTTAGAAGTGTCACATGTCTCGCAAGGCCTTCCTTCCCAATGCCAAAGTCGAAATTTTGCTGTTCTTGGAGGCCCTTGCTCAAAGCATGTACTCATTTTGACCCTGGTTAAATCAAACCACCCAAGAGCAGTTTAAGAAACATGCCCAGCGCCGGTCATGAGAATAGCATTTCTACGAGCTCCCGTTCTGGGAACACGCGCAATGCAAGGTTGGCTCGTGTCTTGAAAGGCCTAAACCCTAAACCCTAAACCCTAAATCCTTTAGAATGTGGTGTCATTGGGGTCTTCCTGAAGCGCCTCCCAACTTTTGTGGCCCCGCCTCCGAGGGCGCTCCGTTCTGGGCCGGCCTGGAGCAAAGACGTTTAGGGTTGAGGGTTCAGGGTTTAGGCGTTCAGGGTTTAGGGTTTAGGGTTTAGGGTTTAGGGTTTAGGGTTTAGGGTTTAGGGTTTAGGGATACTGGACAGTCTTGGCTCCTGCCAATGCGATGAAACAAGGTATAATATGTAGGAGCCTGTTTAGTTGGAATGGGTTTTGGGTAGCTGTCCAAATATCTATACACAGAATCATAACAATTTCGTTTGTGCATTATAGGCTCCTGCATTGCGCCCTGGCTGTTAAGAGAGAGGTGGTCGACAAGACTAAGAAACATGAACGTTGTTCTCTATCAAGGCCTTTCGGTGAACAGGACCCCTACCAACCCTAAACCCCTAACAAACCGAAAGCCCCCTATGACCCTAACTCCTACTGGAATTTAGTAGAGACTGAAGGAATGAGGTACCCTATCGAATCCCTTAAATGGTATATAAGAGTGTATATATCTATAGAGAGAGAGAGGGTTAGAGGTACCTAGTTCCCTCAACCCCTACTTAAAAGTGAGATGATCCAAACCCTAAACCCTAAACACTATGACCCGAAGTGCCTGGGGTTCACCGGGGCTTGGCCCTCGCGTGCCAGCGCGCTGCTGCCCGTCCTCGGGAGCGCTGGGGACCCCCAGAGATTGGGGTTCAGGGTTTGGTGTTTAGGGTTTAGGGTTTAGGGTTTAGGGTTTAAGGTTTAGGGTGTAGGTTTAGGGTTTAGGGTCTAGGCGGTCCACCCTGGTAGAGCAAGGGATCCCCGGTGAAGAGACTCTCATCCCAACGGTACATCCCTTGAAAAAGACCGAGAGAGCCATTAAGGAGTTTACCGAAACCATGTAGGGATCCTTAGGTATAATTGAATGCAGGGGCTGTTGGGGGCCTTGAACCCGTAGGCCCCCATCTCATCCCCTCCCCTAATATCAAACCCCCCCCCCTACCCAATAAAATTAAATACTCCGTTCTAAATATACTATAGGAAATGGGAAATATTTGATATTAGAGGGGGCTTCAATAGAATGCTACTGGACCAGATATCAGCTTCTTGGGGCTTGTCGGGATCTTCAGGATCAGCGGGTTTTAGGGTTGAGTGTTCACCTTAAACCCTAACCCCTAAACCCTAAACCCTAAACCCGAAACCCTAAACCCTAAAGCCTCCGGCTCTCCGGTTCCGGGCCCGCGGCAAGAGAAGTGCGCCCGATCGCCGGCGCGGTCCACACCTGCTGCTCTGCTTTCCGCCCTCTTAAGACCAAAGAGCCCAACGCCCCCTTAGTTAGGGCTTAGGGTTTAGGGTTTAGGGTTCAGGGTTTAGGGCTTAGGGCTTGGGGTTTGGGGCTTAGGGCTTGGGGTTTAGGGTTTAGGGTTTAGGGTTTAGGGTTTAAGGTTTAGGGTTTAGGGTTTAGGGTTTAGGGTTAAGGCCTCAACCCTTAAGCCCAAAGAGCCCAAAACCCCCCTTTAATTCAGATGCCTTAAGCAGTATATAGGGATCCTTAGTATGAAGTAAGGTATCTTCCTTGACTAAGGGGGTTTTATGGGCTCTTCGGGAACCCTGAACATCGCTCTGCCCGTGGCCCTAAGCCCTAAAGTGCTGGTTGTGGGCTAAGGGCTTCGGAACATCCCAAACAGCCGCATCTTTGCAGCGATTTAAGGTAGACCCTAAACCCTAAACCCTAAACCCTCATTAAACCCTAAAAACCACCCTAAACCACCCTAAACCCTAAACCCTTCTGAAAGTACCTAAACCCCCCTCTGGAAAACCCTGTGCTCAGAACCCGGCCGCTCCGGCGGGCGAGGGCCGCTGATAGTGGCCAAGCGCAGCCCAGACTCCTGGCGAACACTCTTTGGACGTCAAAAAAAAGGTTTAAACGGTTTAGGGATTGGGGTTTAGGGCTTAGGGTTTGGAGTTCAGGGTTTAGGGTTTAGGATTTAGGGTTTAGGGTTTAGGGTTTAGGGTTATAAAAGGTTTCGGGGTTTAGGGGTTTAAGGGCTCAGGGGGCTGGGGGTTTTGGGGGTTTAGGGGTTTCGGGGTTGGGAGTTTAGGGGTTTAAAGGCGTAGGAGGTTTAGGGGGCAAGGGGCTTAAGAGTTTTCGGGGTTTTGGTGGTCACGGTTGGGATGTTCCCCCTTATACTAAGAGCCCTGAATAGGCAAATTTAGCAGGGGGTTACTATCATCCCTATGAAGGACTCTTAGTCCAAAGGGCGAACATCCCGAGGTTGAGGGGTTTAGACTCAAAGTTTGGGCGGGGTTTAGGGTTTAGGGTTTAGGGTTTAGGGTTTAGGGTTTAGGGTTTAGGGTTTAGGGTTTAGGGTTTAGGGTTTAGGGTTTAGGGTTTAGGGTTTGGGGTTTAGGGTTTAGGGTTTAGGGTTTAGGGTTGGCTATAGAGCCCTCCAAGGCGTGAGTCGGGCGTATCGCCCCAAACGCCCCAAACCTCAAACCCCAAAACCCCAAAACCCCAAAACCCCAACCCTGAACCCCGAGCCCAAAACCCCAAGACCCAAACCCATTGATGTGGCTTAAAGGCTTGAGGGCTTCTTGCTGGACTCCGTGGAATCTCTTCGGCTGCCCAAGTAAATAAGTATCATCTAGGGTTTGGGGTTTAGGGTTTAGGGTCTAGGGTTTAGGGTTTAGGGTTTAGGGTTTAGGGTTTCAAAACTACACATAAACAAATCGTATGATGTTGTATTCCTCCGATGTCTATAAAGAGGAGGGGATTCAACTCCCCGAAATCCTAAACCCTAAACCCTAAACCCTAAACCCGAGACCAGACCCGGGTCCGTGCTGTCTTTTTCCTGCTCCATTCTCGCCGCGTCGAGAAAACCGACGCAGGGGCCAACTGCCCCACTGGACTGTCTTCTTTTCGACAGTACTTGAAGGTTCATGGGACTTAATAACCACTTACAACTGGGCTTCTAACCCTACTTATAATAGGGATAACCCCTATAAGGCCCTTTAGGGGTATTATAAGTGGGGTTATAAGTACAGTTATAATTGGTTAGTAAGTACCATGAACCTCCAAGTACACCGCAGTGCTGTGCTATCCCTTAAGTGGGTACCCCTTTTCTACCCCGCACAACCCAAGGGCCCATACTTTAGACCCCTTTAAAGGAGGTAAGGGACCATGTTTAGGGCCCACATACCTACCCTCAACCCTAAACCCTGAACCCTAAACCCTAAACCCTAAAAGCTAAAAACCCTAAACCCTAAACCCTAAACCCTGAACCCTAAACCCTAAACCCTAAAAACTAAAAACAGGAAGCCCGAGAGTGGGGTTTGGCTTATGACGATTGCGAGGGGCACACCCGTGTTCGGTTCAAAGCCCCCAATCCCAACGCGGTGGGGGGGGGGGGGGGGTTGAGGGCCAAGGGTTTAGGGTTTAGGGCTGCTTTTCAAGTCGGTTCCCTTGCAGGATGGGATCCTTTATCCAACGGCCTCCAAATAATCCCATGCGTGAAAGGGCATTGGGTTCCTTGGGTAAAAACCCTAAACCCTTAAACCCGAAAAACCCCAAAGACACCAAAAATCCCAAAAACCCTAAAAACCCTAAAAGCCCTAAACCCTAAACCCTAAACCCCTTACACACTTGCACCCTACAGAGTATGTAGGGGTCGGCATAGTTGCTAATAGTATTACCTTATGGACCCTTATTTTAAATATATGATAAGAAACCCCCCCCCAAAAAAAAAAAAAAACATATATACATATATAATAACCTATTCTAAGTATTAAGACCCCTAGAACCCTAGCCCTAAACCCTAAACCCTACACCCTAAACCCTGTTCTAGTTACCCTAAACCCTAAACCCTAAACCCCTAAACCCCTAAACCCTAAACCCCTATTTTTGGCGCTGAGCGTAAAGGAGACAGCTTTGCCCAGGCGAGGCGCCGCAGCTGGACGGAGGCATCGGAAGCCCCATAGGGCGTGCATCACTAGGGGTTTAGTGTTCAGGGTTTGGGGTTTGGGGTTTAGGGTTTAGGGTTAGGGGTTTAGGGTTTAGGGTTTAGGGTTTAGGGTTTAGGGTTTAGGGTTTAGGGTTTAGGGTTTAGGGTTTAGGGTTTAGGGTTTAGGGTTTAGGGTTTGGGGTTTAGGGTTTAGGGTTTGGGGTACAAGGTCTCTGACTGCAACTGTACTACTTTGGGTTTAAGCGGTCACCCCAAAAGCTTGCAACCCCGGCTGTAAACCCTTAACCATAACCGTCCGCAATAAGCCAAAACCCCGAAAAATAGCCCCCCCCCCCCCCCCCCCCACACCCCCGAAGTCCTAAACCCTCAACCCTAAAGCCTAAACCCCGAAAAGCCCGATGCTTCCAGAGGCTTAGGGCTCCGACGCCCCCGCGGGGAGCGCGGACTTGAAACGCATGCACTCGGCTCGCCAGCATGGAAACAGCTCGCCCCAGCATCCAGGCGCGGCACAGATGAGCACTAGCGGAATTACTTGGAGGCACATTTTGGATGATTTTGAAGTAGGGTTATAAGTAACCTAGATAAAGTGATAAGTTTAGCTACCATACCCATGAACCTCCAAGAAGCGCAACTAGAAATATGAGTATGAGTCTTTGTATGAGTCCTAAAGTTACGGGTCGTCTTAGTATTAGCCGAAGTATAAGTGTGAGCATGAACCTTTGCATGCCCCAGCCCTAAAACCCAAACCCTAAACCCTAAAACCCTAACGAACCCCTACGCAAGAAAAAGAAAAAGACAGCATCACTTGCTCAATCAGAGTGCAGGTGCCTCGCGGAGAGAACATCCTAACCCTCGGTTCGAAGTGCCAACGCATCAGCACACGGGTTGCCGGGCATCGATAGGGTTCTGCCTTCTAGTTCCCGGTCAGCTTCAAGGGACCATATACTTAGGATTCTGGGTGGAGGGATACAGAGTCGCCTTTGATAGATACCTTGGCCCCAAAGGCACCACCCTGAATTTTCAAGCTTACGACTCCTCAACAGGCTCGGGAAAAATGTAGTTTAGGGTTTACGGCTGGCCCTAAACCCTAAAACCCTAAACCCTAAACTCTAAACCCTAAACCCTAAACCCTAAACCCTGGGGGTCGGCGCTGAGAGGGGTGCCGGGGCTTGCAAAGAGCTGCCTGGCCAGCCACGCCCAACAGACGCTGTCCAACTGTGTGGCAGCGTATGGTTCTAATTGGAGGTTCCGCTGTCGGAGCAAAAGCCGAAAAGAGGTTTGCAGCGCCACCCGAACCTCCAAAATCTCTCACAAAAGCCGATCTGGGGGTTGATCTCATGGCTCCTTAAGTACAAAAGAATATACTATAACATAGACCCCACAGCCGCCCCAATTCTTTGATCAACCCCCAAATCCTTTCCAGCCTGAAAACCCCCCAGACACTGGCCAACCCGAAGTTCTGGGGTCCTTAAGGGAGTTAGGGTTTAGGGTTTAGGGTTTAGGGTTTAGGGTTTAGGGTTTAGGGTTTAGGGTTTAGGGTTTAGGGTTTCATGGGGGGTAAGCTTAGGGAGCCTTGGGGAGTAGTGGGGATTAGTAGGGATGAACCCCACTACCCGAAGACTTTAAGAGGACGACCCCACCCGACATGAACCCGAAGGAAGAATTGTTAGGGTTTAGGGTTTAGGGTTTAGGGTTTAGGGTTTAGGGTTTAGGGTTTAGGGTCTAGGGTCTAGGGTTTAGGGTTTAGGGTTTTGGGTTTAGGGGATAGGGTTTACGGTTTCGGGTTTAGGGTTTAGGGTTTAGGGTTTAAGGTTTAGGGTCTAGGGTTTAGGGTTTAAGAGCCCTGCTTCACACAAACCTGAAGGCCTAAGCACCCTAAAACATATAAACCCTGTAACCCTATCAACCCAACCCTGCAACCCTATAAACCCCATAAACCCGATAAACCCTAGAAACCCAAAACAAATCAAAAACAAACAATCATAAACCCTGAACCCCAAACCCTATAAATCCTGAATCTTCAGCCCTGAACCCTAAACCAGATAAACATTTAAAAAAAAAAAAAAAAAAAAAAAAAAAAAAAAAAAAAAAAAAAAAAAAAAAAAAAAAAAAAAACCCTCAACCCTGAACCCTGCAAATGGGGATGTTCTACGGTCCTCAAAGGGAATTCATTTACGGATTCATGTATGTCCGTCTCTCTATATATATATATATATTGTAGGGCTTGGTGTTCGTATGCTTTGTTGGGCTTTTTTGGGCTTGGGGTCCTTGAGGCCCAGGGGGTCAAAACTCTGCGTCCGTCTCAAGCTGCGGCCGTGGGCTGGCTGGGCCGAGCATTCGTGGAAGAGAAGATGCCTCCGGCTTTGGGGGTTTCGGATCTTCGGTGTTTAGGGTTGAGGGTATAGGGTTTACGGTTTCGGGTTTCGGGTTTCGGGTTTAGGGTTTAGGGTTTAGGGTTTAGGGTTTGGGGTTTAGGGTTTAGGGTTTAGGGTTTGGGAGGCTTAGGTTGCCCCGCAAAGTTCGGAAGCACGAACGCTTGAAGCTTCTACAGGTTCCTGCGGCTGGGAGCGGGAGATCTGGGTTTGGGGGCTTAGGGTCACGGGCTACTTGGAGGTTCATGGTACTTACTTACCAATTATAGCTGTACTTCTAACTGTACTTCTGAGCCCCTGAAGTGCCCTAGTATGGTTCTAAGCGCAGTTATAAGTACGGTTATCATTGGCTAGTAAGTACCATGAACCTCCAAGTAAGGGCTTGAGCTACTACCCGTGTCTCTATGCCCCACAAGAGAGGTCTGAAAAGGAGGCGGTCCAACGGGGACAAGTATACCCAGAGAGCCCAAAACCCCTTAATTCAGCAATACTCCCTAAACCATATTAGGGATCCTCAGTTATGATTTCAGGAACATCCCTTAATTAAGGGGTATT